TCCTTCCCAGGGGCCATTCCCCCTCCCCCCACACACCCATCTCCTCCCAGCCCGCCCCGCCCTGCTCCCCTCCTGGCAGCCACGCTGAGGCCCGGTATTTTTTTCCCCCAGGCCTCAGCACACAGTTTGGGAAATGCTGTTACAGTGCATATACAATACCTAATGCTAGAGCCCTGAGCAGACAAAAAAAATGTGTATCCACATCCATATCCGCAAAAATGAGCCACAGATATCTGCATCCACATCTGCTTTATATCTGCAGATATCACAGATTTGCAGGGTTTTACCCATTGCTAATGAAATTACAACTATAGAATTCAGGGAAAAAAATAACTGAATTGTTTCTTATTTCCTAATGCTTACATTAAAAAGTTAATTCATTGCTTGTGGGAGGTACAAGATTAACAAATTTTGAAGTTCTTCCCATTTACTCACACAGTCCTGAGCCTGTTAAATGACACATCCGCATAGAAGCCCATTGATTTCAGTACGATTGATTACAGGTTTTAGGGATCCTGTGGGATCTGAACCATATGAATACTGCAAAAGAATACGCTTCCCACACAGTTTGGGATATGCTGGCAGGACAATGATCTGAAAAGACTTTTCCAAGGGTGAGAGGACAGTTAAGTCTTCCATGTACATTAAGCCCCCGAATTAAATGCTGAGACAGCCAATAAAAAAGGTCAACAGTAATGATTATTTCCAATATGCACAATTTCCACTGAGAATTTTACTAAACTCAGCAGCTAATCTCATATACAGTAAAGGAACTGTCAGATATGATCCATTTTGTTTATGATATTCTAGCCTGAATTCAAGGCACTGACTTAGAAGTGAAAGGATCTTGGCTCCATATGAGATGCTTGTTTTAGTTTTGGGAGAAGGATGGGAAGATGGAAGGATACAAATGAGTAAGTCCCCTTCATCCCCTCCCCATTACTCTTGCAGATTTTACAGGGTGGTGGAAAATTCAAATTCCTACCTCTAATTCAGCTTTCCTCCACCTTATTACTTCCCCACTACTGCCAATTGTGACTATCCACGCATACTCCATAATTGCCTGTGTCCCTTACACTCACAAAGTCTTCTTCAACATCACTTTGGTTGCAAGGTATGGTTTTCCTTCCAGATTTTGGATCTTACAAGGTGGCACTACACCCCATGAAAAAGACATACAGGTTTAGGTTTCCACACAAGTTCCTCCTCATAAAATAACCATTGCTGCCACATATGGTATGTCTTATGAACTGTACTGGCATGAGACAGTATACGTAATGTATACAGCTCTCAGTCTCCTATTTTGCAGATATTATGGAAGATTTGAGTTTGAATTTCTAGTTTTTATACACTTATGTGAAGTCACTTTTCTGCCTCAATTCCCCACCTGTAAAATGGGAATTACACCACCCCTTTTCTTCCATCTTTTGCCTGGCTAGTCTATTTAAATGGAAAGCTCTTTGTGGTTCTGGAGCAGGGAATGCCTCTTACTATGTGCTCGCACTGTAGGGTATACACAGTTAGCTAAACAAACAGATGTGCATATAGACATGCAACCTTTGCTCCAGCCACTTTTGCTTGGTAAGAGGACTGGAGTAATATAAAGCCTGTAAAAGCCCAGAATCTGGATTGTGGGGAATTCCTCCCTGCACAGGAGCAGCAAAAGTCAGACATAAGGCTGTCTCCCAAAGATCCCCTTGTATATCTTGGTGTAGGGGGAATACCAGGATGGGGTCCCAGCATGTAATATTGCAGGTATTCTAAGTATTGGTGGGACCCATAGACTGCTGTACTTTAGAAAGGCCCGCAGGGCTGTCTAAATTATTCCATACGCTATGGAGATGCCCAGATTTGGAAAGGTGCAAAGGTAGGTTAAAACCATCATGTGCCGTTCCTGGGCTGAGAGTTCTCCATTGTGCTTCTAAACTCATCGGCTGTGTCTACACTGGCATGAATTTCCGGAAATGCTTAAAACGGAATACTATTCCGTTTTCAGTTTTTCCGGAAAAGGAGCGTCTACATTGGCAGGCTGCTTTTCCGGAAAAGCGTCTGTGGCCAATGTAGACACGCTTTTCTGGAAAAGAGCCCCGATCGCCATTTTCGCGATCGGGGCTTTTTTCCGGAAAAGACTACTGGGCTGTCTACACTGGCCATTTTCCGGAACAGTGTTCCGGAATAAGGACTTATGCCCGAGCGGGAGCAGAATAGTTTTTCCGGAATAGCGGCTGATTTTGTACAGTAGAGCATCGTTGCTTTTCCAGAAATTCAAGGGCCAGTGTAGACAGCTCGCAGCTTATTCCGGAAAAGCGGCTGATTTTCTGGAATAAGTGGCCCAGTGTAGACACAGCCATCGTGTTTAAAGAACAGTGGATGTGGGGAGGAATGTATTCCTGTATTCTCTTCCACACTTGGTAGTCATAACACCTTGATTTTCTCAGTCATAAGCTGACTGGGATACATGTACAAACCCCACCCAAAGGTGCTAAAGGATAATACTGGACCCAAGTGGCCCAGAACTGTCATTCATGCTTAAATTTGACACTTTACGAATGGGCCTTAACAAAGATGCCAACTACCTTACACATTACAAAGATAACTTCCACAATCATCACCCCTAATATCATTATCTCATAGACACTAACCTCCCCTCTCCCTCCCTCCCTTCCACACACACACCCTCTGCTCTAAAATCTGATTTGTCAATTTTATATGTTTCACATTTTTTTGATTGTATCCCTTTGGTATATATGGTCATGCCAATTTTCTTCCACAATTTGATCTGAGGAAGTGGGTCTGGCCCACAAAAGCTCATCACCTAATAAACTATCTTGTTAGTCTTTAAAGTGCTGCATAGTCCTGTCTTTTGTTTCAGCAAGACCAGACTAACAGGACTGCATATCTGTTACTACGTTTGAACAGCTGTGTGAAATGTGTGATTGGACTTCAGATGTTAGCAATGCTATTAATACGCTGAGAACCTGTAATTGCAAGACATGTCCTTCCAGTTCCAGACTGTTTTTGATAATGTCACATTAAGTTGCAATTATTTATGAGTTGAAGAAAATGAGTCAACTTTCATTTCTTTTCATAGTGATATTGATCATGTCTAAATATCAGTAAATGTTTCTAATCATGCTGACATGTTGTGACTTGTTTTGTTTTTTTCAGCCATCAGATGCTTTGATTTTGGGCAAGATAAAAAACGTTGACTGTGTGCTTCTAGCAAGGTAAAGAGCTCTTCAAAGGATTTTTGTATTTCTTGTTTCTTAAATAAAGTTGTTTGTCTTAGATATTTTCTTTTTCTATCAGAAGGACTAACTACTTCTTATGACTATCAAATTTAGGTCTGAACCTGTAAAGGGCAGAACTTCCATTGACTTCAGTTAGGGAAGAATCAGGAGCTTAATAATATAATTTTGTCCCTTTACAGCAGGGTTTCCCAACCTATGAGTCGGGACCCAAATATAGGTCACCATTACATTTCAAAAGGGTCACCATGGGACTCCCCAGCTGGCTCTTAAAGAGCCATTCACACATTTTTTGAATTGCTCTGGGTCACTAAGTCTTCCTGACTTGTCAAAATGGGTCCCCATCTTTGCAGAGTAATTCAGATACCTGGAACACTTGTAAACACTCTGTTCATTCACAAACCATAGCTCAATTTCAACCTCCACTGGTTGTTTTAGTGCTATTATAGCCTGGAAGCTGTTTTGATTTAAGTAGTGCTTCCAGGCAGAATTGATCCTACAAGGATACAATCCTCTTTTCAGTGACAAGTATGAGCACCGTACTGTTTCAGGTTTAAAATGAAAGCATCTGCAGTAGTAGAAAAATCTGCTTTGTGGTGTTTTCCAATAGAGATTAAAATACAGTAAAAGTGTACTATGCCTTTAATTTGTGGTAAAATGTATGACAACTGTTTCAGACATTTAGTTTTCTCCAAATCGTTCTGGGGTCATTTGTAAGGATGGCGAGAGGTGGGGATGGAATTTTGAAGAAATTTTATCCAGCTATGTTTGAGTTTAGTAAGGGCACTTGCTAGGTTTTTTTTTTTTTACTCTAATTTACATCTAGTCATGATGACAACAAATTGAAGATTAAAACTTTGCATGTAAATGGTTCTTAAGTATCAATAGCACAGTTCCTTTTTGTGAGGCATGTGGTTATTTTATAGATCAGTGGTTCACGACTTTTTTTATACTGCGGACCGGCAAACACGTTCACAAACTTTTGGCAGATCAGTAACATACACTTGCATGTTCATTATGCAAATTATGGATATACAGATATTCAAATAAAATGTTACCGGTCTGCCAGAAGCCCCAGCCACCCACCCCCAGAGCCTTCCAGCACTAGCCCTGCCCCGCCCCCCTCACCTAGGCCTGCGGTGCCTCCCAACTACCAGCTGAGTGCTGCTGCCTGGGTTGCAGCTGCTCTTAAGGCTGCTGTGCTGGGCTCCATGTGGCCCTCCCGCTGCACAGTGAACAACTCTTCTGTATCCGGGAGGAGACCCCATTTCTGCCCAGCACTGGTTGACTGAGATGCGGGGCAGGACATGCCTCTCCCAGCAGCCGCAGCAGGAGGGGAGGTGCTATGCGGTATACCCCAGACCAGCGAGCAGTTCACATACCAACAGTGGGTTTCATCCCACACCTCAGCAAAATCATTCTATCGAATACCCTCTACATAGAAAATAAAAGGAAAAAGAAAATCCAGCCTTAAAAATTATTTGCAAAAAAAATCGATATGTTGTCTACACTGAAAAACACTGTCGCGTCTGTAAAACCAGTGAAGTTATGCCATCACAAGGAACTGAAGGCTATGCAATTATGAGGGGAAAGGGTTTTTAGTCAAACTATTGGAAAACTTTGTTGTTGTTAACGCCTGTTTATCTCCAGTGAATGCTTGGTTGTAAAGTTTATTTTGTTTAAGAGATTGGGAGAACTGCAATGTGTGTGCTTGTGCTGAAACTTTAGTGATTGAAAGCTCACAATATAAATCTTTGAGATTTCTAAGAGATCATCCAGCAAAACTAGGGAAAATTAGATTTAGCGTTATGGATACAGCCAAGGTTTAATTTTTTTATTAGAAAAGGGGACAGAAATCTCCCATATTTTTCTTTTCTATTGTCGTCTTTTTCTCTAATTAAGTCACTGTCATGTGGGCAGTAATATGAGAGAGAGAGAGAGAGAGAGAGACTTTGACAGATTGTGTGAGTTAGTGTATGTGGCACACAGACAGGAGTGAGGCAAACTGGGGGTGGGGATGTGACAGAGTGTGTGTGTGCTGGCAGCTGCATACATGCTGCTGGATGTAAGTTTTCACACACTGCTTTTCAGCTGGATGGGCCAGATAGAAACGTCAGAGGCAGCTAGTGTTTGGGTGCTCAGTGCTGGGTTTACAAAGCCACCGGGTTCCATAGAGCTGGGCCTGTGCTCAGAAGGGGCCCTGTCCTGCTCTGCTTGCACTGTACTCTGAAGCCCCGCCAGCCTGCTGTCTGCCATCCCATGCCATCACCTGCTGGCTTGTCTCTGCCTCCTGACCATACCTGAGTGCTCCTCCGGCTCTGGGCAGTCTCTGCTCTACCACCTGTGGGGCTCCACCTGTCTCCCTGGTAAGGATGTTAAGGACTAGTTGACTATCCAGTAAGCAAATACTTATCAGATAGTCAAGTTGACTAGTCGCTTCTTCCCCCTTCCCCCCCCTTGCTGCCTCTGTCAAATAGAGGAAACAAGGGGGGAGGGGAAGCGAGAGTACTTCAAAGCATCAGCGCCGCATGGAGCCCGGGGTATGGGCTCCGTGTAGTGCTGCCGCTTTGAAAAGCTGTGGTGACATTTCAAAGGGGCAGCACAACACAGCTGATCCCTGTGGTGTATGAAGGCACGGACTCCGGCCGGTGCAAGCACGAAATCATTTTATTGCAAGATTACAACTATCTTTATACCCTCTCAAACTTCCCAAAAGTCCACATCCTGCTTTTCATAAACTGTGCTTCTTCACAGTCCCAAACACAGCATTCTCGAAGGTCGTTGACTCAGGCAGATGTTGTTATTGTTGGCTCAGGACTCCATCCTGCTTTTCATAAACTGTGCTTCTTCACAGTCCCAAACACAGCATTCTCGAAGGTCGTTGACTCAGGCAGATGTTGTTATTGTTGGCTCAGGACTCTTGCTTGGTTTCGTCCTTGGGATGCCCTGTCACGCGGCCAAAGCACTATA